GTCAACTGCAGGGATCTGGATGGACGGCACTCAACCCCGCTGCATTTTGCCGCTGGCTTTAATCGGGTGCCAGTCGTGCAATTCCTGCTGGAGCATGGCGCTGAGGTCCATGCGGCAGACAAGGGTGGACTCGTTCCGCTGCACAATGCATGCTCGTATGGCCACTACGAAGTCACCGAGCTGCTCGTCAAGCACGGCGCCAATGTCAATGTCTCCGATTTGTGGAAGTTTACGCCGCTGCACGAGGCAGCCGCCAAGGGCAAGTACGATATATGCAAGCTGCTGCTGAAGCACGGTGCAGATCCGATGAAAAAGAATCGCGATGGTGCCACACCTGCTGATCTCGTCAAGGACTCGGATCACGATGTGGCCGAGCTGCTGCGCGGTCCCTCGGCGCTGCTAGATGCGGCCAAAAAGGGGAATTTGGCGCGAGTGCAACGCCTCGTCACAACGGAGACGATCAATTGCCGGGATTTGAATGGACGCAACTCGACGCCGTTGCATCTGGCCGCTGGCTACAACAATTTTGAGTGCGCCGAATATCTGCTGGAGCATGGCGCCGATGTCAATGCCCAGGACAAGGGCGGACTCATACCCCTACACAACGCCAGCTCCTATGGGCACTTGGATATTGCTGCGCTGCTCATCAAGCACAAGACGGTGGTCAACGCCACGGACAAATGGGGCTTTACGCCGCTGCACGAGGCCGCGCAGAAAGGGCGCACGCAGCTCTGCTCCTTGCTGTTGGCCCATGGCGCCGATGCCTATATGAAAAACCAAGAGGGACAAACACCCATAGAGCTGGCCACTGCCGACGATGTGAAATGTCTGCTGCAGGATGCCATGGCCACATCGCTCAGCCAACATGCGCTCAATGCTTCCACGCAATCCCTGGCGAGCACCTTACCGGCGCAAGATGGGGCCGCAGGTGCCAACTCAGCTGCAGCTGTGCCGTGCACTGGAAGTGCATCGGGATCTGCATCCGCCTTGCTCGCACCCACCACGGAGACAGTTCTACTGCCCTCGGGCGCATCCATGACACTCAGTGTGCCAGTGCCGTTGCCTTTGAATAGCTGTGCGACTCGTCTCAGTCCAGCACAGGGCGCTGAAGCGCATGGCGCGGAGAGCTCCAGCAGTGAGGAACTCCTGTCCGATCCGGAGTCGATAACGAATGTGTCCAGTTTCTTGAGCAGCCAGCAGCTGCATCATCTGATCGAGCTGTTCGAGCGGGAGCAAATCACGCTGGATATACTGGCCGAAATGGGTCACGACGATCTCAAGCAAGTGGGCGTGTCCGCCTACGGTTTCCGACACAAGATACTCAAGGGCATCGCCCAGTTGCGAGCCACAACAGGTATGTAGCTCAAGTCCTCCTCATGCTCCTGTTGCTCAAGTGTAAACTCTTGACAGGCATTGGCAACAATGTTAACCTGTGCACGCTGCTGGTGGATCTGTTGCCGGATGACAAGGAGTTTGTCGCCGTCGAGGAGGAGATGCAAGCCACCATACGCGAGCATCGTGACAATGGACAAGCTGGCGGCTATTTCGTGCGCTATCACATAGTTAGGGTACGTCTGAACCAGCTTAAGTCTTGATAGCTTTTAGTAATTTCCATTTCTCAATTCTCAATTTTGTAGGTGCAAAAGGTGCAGAATCGTAAGTTGTGGGAACGCTATGCGCATCGACGCCAGGAGATTGCCGAGGAGAACTTTATGCAGTCAAATGAGCGTATGCTCTTCCACGGCAGCCCCTTCATCAATGCCATTGTGCAGCGGGGCTTCGACGAGCGACACGCCTACATTGGCGGCATGTTTGGAGCGGGCATTTATTTCGCCGAGCATAGCTCGAAGAGCAATCAATATGTGTATGGCATAGGCGGCGGCATCGGCTGTCCAGCGCACAAGGACAAGTCCTGCTATGTGTGTCCCAGGTAATGCTTAACCAATAGTCATTTGAGAATATCTCGCTTACAAAATTGTTTTCATTGTTTTAGACAACTCCTGCTATGTCGTGTTGCATTGGGCAAGTCATTTTTGCAGTACAGCGCCATGAAGATGGCACACGCACCTCCCGGCCATCATTCGGTGGTTGGGCGCCCGTCGACAGGCGGCCTACACTTTGCTGAATACGTTGTATATCGTGGCGAACAAGTGAGCACTAGATGAGTTGAATTTCCCTATATGTTTTACTAACTGTTTGTGCTTTGCAGTCTTATCCAGAGTACTTGATAACCTATCAAATTGTGAAGCCCGATGATAGCGGTGTGGAGGAAACAAGATGATGGATGCCCTCGGTTGGCTCGACGCCCACAACAACCTTGCCAGCATTGGCAATAGCGCAACCGCAGCAACCGCAACAGACCTCAGCCACAGTGAAAGCCACAGCCACAGCCACAGTCGCCGTTAAAGCTCCAGTTCCAGCTCCAGTTGCCAAGCGGCGGCATAAGCTCGCCCAAAAATATCAACAGCCAGTTCCCCGTTTACCGTTGTCCTTGCAGTTGCAGTATCATCACTATCAGCCGCAGCAGATGCACCAGCTGCCGCAACCGCAGACGGTGGTGACCACCAAGCAGCCGGCACCGGCAGGAGTTTTTAACACGCACAACAACAACATCAATCATAGCTATAGTAATAATAATGAAAACAACAATGGCAGCAGCGGCGCTGGTGGCGCCGGCGGCGGGGCTAGTAATAGTAATAACAACAACAATGATATGTCACCAATATCGAATAGCAACAGCTACTCCTCGGTTGATACGAATCAAACGCTATTGAACTCCATTTCCAATCAACGCAGTGCTGGCACCAGTCAGAGCCACAGCCACAGCCACAGTCAACATCGTCCGGCGCCGAGCCACAACCGAAAATATAGTCAATTCATGATCATCACGCCCGCCGTTTCCATTGATCGCGATTTCGAGAAGGATTCACATTTGGATTTTGAGGACTTCGCCAATGCGGCGCACAACAACGGCAATCTGTTCCGTTTGGGTCTGCGGCGCAGCGACAGCAGCAGCGGCGACGACAGCGGCAACAGCAGCGACAACAGCTTTCGCTCCAACTATAATCCATATGTGCATCACAGTCGCCAGCCGTTGCTGGCCAAGAAGGGCCAAAACAGTAATGGATCGCATCAGTTCTACGCCTTCCCCAGCTGGCGCTGGTGCACCCTGCTGTGCGCGGCAATGCGCTGCTTTGGCGCCGGTCCAGGCAACCAGGCGCCCTACAGCAGCTCCTTCGTACCACACCATCGCTTACGTCGCTGCAGCTCTTACAATGCGGACATCGCCTACGATTATGAGCATTTTGCGGCGCCGTTTAAGGCGCGTAAGACTCGCGATCATATGAATAATATTACGTATGAGTTGTGACGTTGGCCGCTGCCAATAATCGTTAAATTGCATTTTGATCTCTTTGTCGCCGTTGTATTTGTTGATCTAATCCTAAACTTTCAGCTCCTTATTAGACTTTATTACAAATTATCATTATTAGCTATGAATGTCGTGTACTGTGTGTCGTCGTTTATTCCAGCTACAATTCCGATTATCAAATGAGAACAACAAGATCAAGTAAAACGAAAAAAAAAGAAGAAAAAAGAGCAGCACATTTTTTGAGTGATTTTAATTCGAACTTACGAGTAATTAATAATACTATATACAAATTACAATTATGCGAAAGGAAAGCATACGAAAACGAAATTGAATATTCATAATGAACACGCGTTTACTTAAGTGTTTAAATTTAGCTAATTAATTTAAAAAACAATGACAACAATTCAAACTCCAATTAAATTTAAATATACAATATATATACAAAATAAAACAACGGCATTTAATTTTTTAATAGTAACATTTAAAAAGTTCCGCCTATAAAGTTTGTAGCAGTGAGCTTTGAGTTACCACGTGTGGCTTCAAAGTTCTTGATAAAAAAAAATTTGTTTCTATAGTCCACTTTGACTTAGCAGTTTAAATTTAGGTGGATAGTTTTGAAAAATATGTTTAAATGATAAACTCTTCCAAAATACCAATATATAATTTAAATTTCTAATTTGTAACATTGTCTTATAATGTAGCAGTGAGCTTAAAATGGGGTTGAGCACATGACGTTGGCAACTCAGGCAGTATAGCTGCCAAAGCTAATTGCTATGCCACTATTTTGCTGTTGTTTGCGCTGCAGTTGGCGTAATTTGCAACTGTCAAACCGCTGTCAAGTTTAAGTGCGCCCACAAAAATGTTTCAAGCTGGCGAGTGAAGTTTTTTTTTTTTTAAAAGAATAATGATGATGAATACTAAAATACGCAAATATCTTTCTTTTGGCCACGCACACATAATCACATTTCACTGTCAAAATGCGGCACTTAATGATCGTTTTTTACTCTTCTTTCTTATTCTTTGTTGTTTCCTCTTTTCTTTTTTTGGTAACATATGCAAGTAATTTGATTAAATTATATAATTACAGGGCAACAGGCAACAGAGAGGCGGATGCCTGCCCAGATGAGACACACACAGACGTTGTTTGCGACACTCACTGCAGGCCGGGACTAGTGCAATTTGTATTTTCGCATAACAACAAATAAGCACCAGGCACGACCTACATCAGGTGACGTTTTAATGTTGCACAGCACTTTAAACACACACACACACATACTCGCAGAGATGGCAGCTACACATTCCCATAACAATATCAATAAGCCAAGCGGGACGTCAGCCTGCCCAGCCATTACAGCCTTCCATTGCGTGGCTGTAATTTAATTAAAATATAGACACATTAATAATCAAATGCAGGCAAATGATACGCCTGCGGCATTAGGCACAAATTGGAGTCAAATTTACGTTAGCTGCAGCATAGCCACATTTCTCGCACACAGGCATATATATACGCGAACATATATATATACACACACTAAAAAATATTAGTTGTTGGTTTTATTCAATTTGGCGTATATATTACATATATAAAATATATAATATATAAATTTATATACATATAGGATATAGTCCATAATAAAGGTATAAAATTAGTTTTAACTACATTTGTATTTCTTTTGGTTTGCCTTAGTCTCCATTAGATTCCCAAACTAATCTTCGTCCGTACTGATAACTTCCACGAAATTGGCGTTCTGCTGCAGTCTTTTGTCGTTCTCAATGGACGCTTGGACTAATTCTAGTGTAAATTTTTCAATAAGTCGCATGGACATTGCTTGAGGCAGCTCATTCAGCGTATGCGAAACAAATTCGCCAAAGGCTCGAAATTTTGGATATGTGGTTTTTGCAGCTGTTATTTTCGATTTGGCATACGGTGCCGGTGCCACACTAGCCGTAGCCGTTGCTGCTGCAGTTGCTTGACCTTCTTCCAAACGTCGTTTGGCTGGTGGCGCGTCCTCTTCTAATGTTAGCGGCGAACGCTTCGGCTTGGCTACGCGCAACAGCTGCTCCGTTTGGCGACAATTGGCCGATTGGTGCTGAGCTGCTTTGTCATTGAGTAGGTTGCTATTGCCGTTGCTGTTGTTGCTGATGCCATTTATGGGCGTGCTGCTGGCTGGTATGCTGCAATGTGTATATATATAATAAATATTAATATCATAGTCGTAGTTCAGTGCTGATCTCACCTGAGCATTGTTGTCACTGGCAACTGGCCATCGCAGTCAAAATCCTCGATCTCCTCATAATCGGCATCCAGTTCATGCTTGATGCTTTTGGGTAGCTCATTGCTTTCGCTGTTAACATCGTCCACATCAAAGGGTTCCTCATCCTCTTCATCATCCGCATGGCCATCCAGCGATTTGCTTTGGGTCTTATACGAGCGACGGGTGCGTATGTGGTCTGAGAGAAAACTTAGATTCTCATACAAGGGCCATTGGCTAGCTAAATTTGAAAGAGAATTGTTTTCCACGCGTCGCTTCTCGATATTATAGCGATTACGCAGCGTAATCATGCGATCGCGCAATATGGATACTATATGAAAAATTATTTAGAATTATTTACAAGTGTACAAATTCAAAAGAACTTACCGTCATAGCCCAACTTATGAGATATTTGCATCCAGAGCTGGGCAGTGTGTATCTTATCCTTGAAGCGCTTATTTGATCGATCATAAAGCGCTGGGCGCGAACGGTATTCACGTATCAGACCCAAGTCGAACTCCCCGGTCTGTGCGTAGGAGGCGCGTGGGCGACCTCGACCCTTGGGCTGATGGACTGGCTGCGAGGCGATATGCGACTGTATCAGCAGCGGGGACGCGGCTACTTCCATTTTTATGTTCAGTTCCGGCTGCGTTTTCATGTTTATTGAGTAAAGATTTAAAAAAAATGTTTTTTTGTATTATTAAAATAATATTTTCGACTGTTTTTAACACGCTGCTTGTTAGCGACACATAAAAAACAACTCAAAAGAAAAATGAAATAACAAAACTCAAGAAAAAAATATGAAAAAATTATAAATAAAAAATTATTTAGACGGTTTAGAGCACACTATTTCTGAGAGTTCATGAGAAAACTAAGATATGTATGTATGTGTTTTAAATATGTTTACAAATACGCATTTGCTCTCTCGAGTAAAACTTACTTTTGATTTGTATGTGTAATTTATTTTCCTTTTAACTCAATTTGTTTTTATATTTAACACACAGCGACAGCGACAGCAACAACAATAAAAATAACGAAGGCACACACAACAGGCGGGCGAGCGCGATTGCTCGGCTTGTTGTGTTTTTTTTTATTTTTTATTTTATTTTAATTATTTTTTTATTTGACTAGAAACGACAACGACGACGCCGACGCCAATCACAAAAATGTACTAAATGTGCGTTTAAAACGAATCTCACAAAAATACCAAATTTAAATACTCAACAGCTGATGATTTGGCGCTGTATTTCAATATGATGCACGCTGCTCTTTGAATATAAACTGAAAATATCAAGTTATCAAGAATTACATTATACATTATTTTGTTATTAATTCTTTTGTTAGAAAAAAAACATATTGTTTACGTACTATTAAATTGTATTAAAATTGAGATATGAAAATCTTTTTAAATAATTTTTTAATGCTTAATATGTATGTAAAATGTAAATATGTATGTAAATGTAATTTTTTTTTAAATTTTAAGTGAATATATTTAATAATCCGGAAGATTATTCTATAAAAACTCACCGGAATTTCCATAATAAAAAGACACAACTGTACACAATTGTTTCACAAATTTTAGAACTGAAATGGCACGAAAAACTGAAATTATAAAACTCGTCTCTTCAGTTTTAACAAAAATAATGTTAAATTTTTAAACTTGTAAATATTTTACACGATTAATATAACTTAACATACTAAGTTATATATATTTTTTATATTTAAACTTAAGGCTTGTTTAGTTTTGAAAAATTTACATACATACGTGTTTATATATACTCTACTCTATTGGACCTGATTGTTGTAAGATAAACCGCTCATAGGCCGGGACAAGTGCAATGTTTGAATCAAAAGGTAAAACGTTGACACCTTCCCGTCCTGCAAGCAATTTATGATTTGGGTATTGCAGTTCTGATATACTTTTTTCTTTAATATACGAGCATACATATATCATTTTTGATATAGAGTTTCACGAGTGCCCCCAAACATAAGAAGCGAATTACAATATAATTATGTTCGCTCTGAAAAAGAAAATTAAAAACAGGTAGACAAAAGCAGATCAGTTCCTAAAATCTCATATTTCAATAACAAGAAAAAAAAAAGTTTAATATTAAATTTCCGCCCCTACTTGAACAGAACAACTCTACTCCCCCGGCTTCTTGGTTTTAGAAGATCTTTGTGCGGGCGAGAGAACAATGGATCGGAGGCCAAGGATCAGAGAGCTGAATTCTGCCCATGAGAGCGAAACTAAAGTACCTTTGGCCTAGCAGGTAAAATTAAACGCTGCAAATCAAGCGTTAAATGCCATTTACTTACGCCTCAGGGAATTTCAGCTATATAAGATGTTGTAGTATATACATATGTATACACATTTATGTGTGCATATGTGAGTATAAGGTCTATATTCTAGGGATTCATGCGGTGATGTTGGGTCCATAAACAGTTGGCTAACATCGACAGATTTTGAAATCCAAAGCGTGACAAAATTCGTAGAAAAACGCTGGAGCCTTCAAAGAGCAGGCAATTATGAACTGAGCGGAATTGCCACAGCAGCAGAAACAAAAATCAAAGTTTTCTGAGCACTTACATATGTACATGTATGTATGAATATATATACTTATGCATAAGTGTGTGACTTTAAGATGGGGCTGCGACAATTTTGCTCCTCTCCTGTTTTTGTGGCTCTCAGCGTATTTCTATGTGGCTTATCTTTGGAAGAAAAAAATGGGGGGAGCTCAGAGCTGGCCCGCGCATATTTGTTTATATGATCGCAGTCGAGCATTAGCTTTAAGTTTAATGACATACACACACATATATATGTATATGTATATACTTAGGGAATTTATCCCCTCTGAAGACGAAAAAAAAAACGAACCAACGCTGCAATAAATTTATATTTATTTATTTTTCTTAGGCAAATACGCCCCCAACAACCCAGCAACAATATGAACGAGAGCTCCAAGTGGAGCTGCTCGAATTCGTGCTCAAGACTTCGGCTGCCCCATTGAGCAATTGTAAGGCAGCCGGCCCAGAACGACCAATAATATCGGAGAGCGGAAACGCAAATAGACGCGCGATAAAAAAGAATAAGAGAATGAAAGATTGAGCGGGAAGGGGAAAAACAGAACGCCACATAAATTTCAAAAAACTAATAATTCATTGAAAAGGCTAGCAATGCGGATCATGTAATAATATTTGCTTAAGCAAACAGCTGACAAGACTTTAACAACGACGCGAAAGCTGGGGTCGGCGTTATGAGGCAGGCCAACATGGAGCATGCAATATACAATTAGTGCTGGTAGCTCTAGCTTGTTTCTAATAAAATTAAATAGCTAAATCGCATAAATATCCTCCGTATCTGCCAGCTAAAAACAGCTAACTTTTTGTACACTCAAAACTTGCCAACACTGTGAAGTCAACCCACCATAGGCTGAAGCGTGAATGTGTGAGCACAGCTAACAGTTCGCCTACGATCCAAGGGAGAGTGGCTAAGGTGTGAGAGAGAAAGAGGGAGCGGAAGAGCGTGAGCAGAGTGTGAATGAGTTACCAATAGCTACATAAAGCAACCAGTGTTGCCAACAAGTTCCGACTACGCTGCATATGTATCCCAAAGAGCAGCAGAAACGAGGTTTAGAAATTATAAAGTTTATATATTACTATTAAAGTTGTTAATGCTGATATTATATTAAAATTTTAAAAGAAGCAAACTTTTTTAATAATTTGCATATGATCCGCATAATATATATTATACACATTCTTATATTATTTCAGACATTTTAAATGGAATTCATTCACCACTTTTTTTTATTATTTGTTATCAAGTAATGTTTAATAAGAAAACAAATAATATATTGTTATGTTTCCATTGGGATTTGTGTATGTATGTATATATGGAAATGTGTGTAAAATGTTATTGATAAGAAAAGCTGTCTGTAACCATGGGGTAGTCAGCATATATTTCTGCTCATTGAAGTCCTACTATACTAAGGTCGTTAGCTAAAGATCAAAGAACCGAATAGCAAGGATTCGGCACAAAATACTTTAAAAAACTAAGTAAATTTAATAGTTTTTAGAACGCTATCTAAAACTTAAGATGACACAACATAACACATCCCTCAGATTATGCTATTAAATTTTAATTTTCACTTTTTTTTAATGGCTCATAAGCATTTTGAGCATTTAGTGTATGGGCTGTAAAGTTGGAAGCTTCTTTGGGACGAGAAAGAGGAGATTAATTAACAGCACTGCAATCGTAAAGTGAGCCATAAAATTCAAATGCAACAAAACGCAACGATAAATACGAGCAAATCTGTGCATTCGTTAGGGTATATGAAGTGCGTTGTAACTGAACACATCTAAGCATACGTGTGCCTACATTTATGTTGAGCTCCTTTCACGACGTTTATGATTGCGAACGGCCTTTTGTCTGTTGCCTGTTTAGCCTGCCGTCGTTGCCTCTGCCTGCTCGGCCTGTTCTAGTTTGAGCGGGAATCATATTTAATGACTGCCAGCCGAGAGAGCTGCCAATGGCTCGACAAGAGGACTGCGCAAGGGAGGCGCTCGGGCGGGGAGAGGCACGCTAATGGCTGCTAGCCAAAAAGAGTTGGCTCTCTTGCTGGCTGTTGCGTCTGCGCTGGCAAAAATAACTGTATTAAATGGCCAATACCAATGGCAATGCCAATGCCAGTGCCTAGGACAGCCTCAACGTTGGCTTAGAAAGGTTCTCCAGTGCGGCCTGTTACAATTCTGTTTTTGTGTTTTTTGTTGTTGTTTGTTTTTGTTTTTGTTTTGTTCTGCTTAAGCCATGGCCAACTAGAAACCCGTTTCTGTCGTCTGCAAAAGCCGTTTGGCCTGGGCCTGGCCCTGGGCTGTGCCTGTCTCATCTGTTGTCTATTTGGCGTGGCAGTGCACCAGCCTCCCATCCCATCCCATCTGCTAGCTGCTGCCTCCTCCTGTTGCTGTGGGCCTGTTCCCAGCGCAACATTTACTTTGTTGCCGAGATGCTTTCTCTGCGAGCGTGTTGCCAGGCTGCAACTGCAACTGCTGCTGCTGCTGCTGCTTCAAAAGCCAACTCGCACTTTGATTTGCTTGCAAATTTGGATCTAAGCCAGCGTAATCGAAATGCAATTAAGAACTCGACTATTTGCGTTCTTTTTATACCCTGTAAAATTTTAAAGGTGTGTGTGTGTGGCATCTGTACGAATGAAAAGATGCCGGCCAAAAATGAGAAAATTAATTCTGTCAATAAGTTGCATCAGTCATCTCAGTCAACTTCATTCATCGCATCCATCAAATAATAGATCCTTATTATTACTTATTATTACTTCCACAAAATATGATCAGTACATCCTGGCGAGCTACAGAAGAGTGACTGCAGAGTAACTGCTAGTCGAGCACATCCAACTGGAGCACTATTGTTTTACCATTTTCTGCTTGGTTGTGCAACAGTTGTGCCAGGCTCTCACACGGGATCGGGTCCATTTTGATATGGGTTTTAGAAAGTCCACTTCGAGTCCAACTTTGGGCGAGTGCCATTTGGAAAGGCGTTGACGTTGGCCGCAGCACTCGTTGCCGTAGATTCTGCTGCTGCTGCTGCTGCTCCTGCTAGTGATGGTGCTGCTGCTGCCGCTGCTACGTCTGTTGCCATAATTAAAGGGTTACGGCCATGGCCAAGACATGCCAATCGGCAGAGAGAGCCCGCCAGTTGTGGCCAGTTCTAAGAGCCGATATATATTCACATATATATCAGCTGCCATGTGAATTGTGCGGCTGATATGCATAACGGTGTTTTAATATTAGTTGGCGCAAATAAGTGGGCATGTCTCCTTCTGCTGCTACAACAACAACAACAACAACAGCAGTCCATGTCCACATTCCCATATATAGTTGATAGTTGCCTAGTCATTTGATTGATATTGTTATGGCATAATATACGTTCATTGTCTGCGCACATATACACACACTAACACACATGCACAGCTTGCATTACAGTTTGAGTTACACTTGTTTGCGGCAAATCTACAGTTTGGCTAGCAGTGCAATTGGCCAGCAATCAATTGGCTTGCAGTGCGCTTCAAAAGCGTTTAAACAACTCAAATTGTGGCCGTAAATTGGCATGCTTAAGAATGGTGTGTCTGGTTTTTTGCTGTGTAGGCTGCTGTGTGAAATTGGACGCAATAATATATGATATAAGCCAGGCCAGAGCTACGAATATGATGAAACAGTTAAAGAAGAAGTTGATTTACAGTTGTTTAAATTCTATTTTTTTTTTTTTTTTTTTTTGCTATTGGAATTTCAATTACTCAACTCATTAAAAATTCAAGCTTTATAAAAGTTCTGTAAATCGCTTTTGTTATCTTAACTCAGAAAACAATGAACTCATGAATACAAATATTTCTAGTGTATTTAATATATTTTGGTTTTATCAGAAGCATGCGTAATCACTATGCCAATACAATAAAATTTAAAGCTCGTTGTACAAGATTTAAAATCAGTATCGTATTTTCAAATTTATAGTTTGACAATATCGAAAAAAATCGTTAGTTATTAATGTTGAGCAATTCATGAACTTTCTCTGCGTTTTAAATATTCCATTCCAATAACTCCAGCAACTCAATTATCTCTTTACAACATTGAATTAAAATTCTATTGAGCGACATCTAGAGTTAGACTGATGCTTAAAATTTAATTTAAGAGTCTAGTGCGACTCCAACTACTGGCAACTCGTTAGCAATAAAAGTAACGTTCCCCACATAGCTCAGCTCCAGTGAGAGAGAACTATTTGGGTGTCTGGAGAGGGGGATATACATAAATGAATGCCTAACAACTCAATTACTAGAGCCTGATGCGATAGTCCGAACAGTTAGAAGTCAAGCAGCTTAAAATGCAATTAATAGTCCCGAACAGACGCAGGCGCAGACACACACACACACGCATACACCGAGTTGAATCTGGACAACCTGCCCGTTGCCAAGCCAGTAAGCAAATCATTAGCGGCAAAATTTGCGCCCAGTTATAATCCGCAAGATATAGAAACCCAAGTCTTCAGCTCACATTTCACGAAGTTCTCACACAAATTTCAGATGCTCGATCTAAAGAGATGCCATGGGATGCTGCGCAGCGTGGTATTAAATGTGTACCAATTATGCTCTGTATGCATCTGTGTGTGTGTAAAACTCGTCTAAGCAAAGTTTGGGCAGAGATCTTCAGGAATTTAAGCCTCAAATTTCGCGCAGGCGAACCACAAATTTTCAAAGAGCTAAGCAGAAATTTTAGTGAAACGCTTATTAAGAAAAGGCTGCCCCATAGTTATATGGGGCATTCCACTGTGCGCGCGTATGTATGTATGTATGAGAATCAGTGTGTTTGTGTGTAGCTATTCGATAGCGCCAATTTGATATGGGGCCAAGGAGCAAGCACACAAATTAAGTTTCATAGGAAGCGCGAAGCAGAACAATATTATACAAAAAATGAAGTGAAAAAAATACTACCTGGACAACATAATGCCATCACTTTCGCACATGTGCTGTCCCTCTTTAATTTCGGATGTATTTTGTTGTTTTTGTTTTGTTTTATGTGGGGATCGTAAAGTCCCAGCAGTTAAAGAAAGGCAGAAAGAAAGTTCGTTACGCCAATAAAATTACGCCTCATTTAAGGAATGGACAAAGCTGTCGACAGAAATTGAGGAAATACTTAAATTTGAGTTTAACTTTACAGTTACGCTTAATGAGCACTGGAAAGTCAGGGAATCTCTCTCATCTTTACCTTTGCTGAGATGAGTTCACATCTTTTAAGAATGTATGAAACGTTTTAACAAACTTAATACTCCTAAGTTGAGCCAAATGCCTACTTGAATATAATATGTATGTATGCAATATAAGCATAGCCCTATTGATTCCAGAGAGAGCACACAAACCGAAATCAATATCCAATCATTAATCGTTAACTAATTCCATGAATTTTGGCAGACGGCCGGCACTCGGCGATCGCCTTTAACTCCAGTGCTTCAACTTCGCAGCCCCCTCTCTGTTCCACTTACCAAGTTCCGAAAACGCAACCAGACATGCCACACTAAAGACATATATTTATGCCCAGCTTCGCGTATTTAGAACGGAGTTCAGGCAAAAAAAAAAAAAAAAAAAAAAAAAACAACAAAAAGAAAAAATATCAAGATAAAAATATTTTTCGGCTGGCCTTTTTTAGTTATGCGGCAACAGCAGCTGCCCGTTTGGCCACTGGACAGTGGGTCCTAACCCAGCCTATTTGTTGTTGTTGTTGTTGTTATCGTCGCGTCGTCTGCCCAGCTACCAAGTTGCAGTCCTCTGTGATCCTGGGATCTCTTGGAGTTTTGCGTTTTCATTTCGATTCCAAGTTTTGGTGTTTCGTTTTCGATTTCGATTTCGGCGACGACGACGACGACCATGAAACAATTTTATATTTTTCAGAAGATCAATAAAATTTTACCGACCCAACTTATTTGGGTATGCGGCTCCAACAAAATTAGTGGCCAAATTGTCGTGCAGAACGAGTTTTGGGTCACATTTTTGGTTACAGAGTATAAAAAATGTTTGTTTTTTAAACACCAAAAATATATATTTTGAACTTCATAAATTCTTTGCTCATCGCACGATTGTTGAAGTTATAATTAATTTATGTAAGAGCTCGAGAAAGGGGCTCTATCTATAAGCAATGATCTGGATTGAGTCGGGTGCTTAATAGAGATAAGGATTGATATAAGAAATATTTGTTCTTTAATTTTTTTATATACAAACAATATTCAAATATCGAAAAATAAAACTTATAAATGAGCAGTATCCATTTCCATACTTATATTTACCTAACTTTTAACTATTATGCTCATTATGTAATTAAAGATATTTCCAATGAAAATCAGGAAACAGCATGGCAACGCTGTGTGGGTTCCTGCTCGCAGACCGGCCTGTAAGAAAGGTGCGCTGCATAATTCTGAGAAAATGCATGCTCCAAAACGGAAAAAAATTTGCCTCGGCTGCTGCGTGTGTGTATGTATGTGGGAGGTAGGGAAGCTGGCAACACTGGGAGCGAAGCAGTCGATGTCTGCGCGCGCTGCAATCAACATTCGCAGGCCGGCACTAATGAATTTGTATGCAAACCGCAGACATTTCATGTTTCATGTTATATGCCAATGATTTGGCATAAAAACAAAGAACAGTGGAGAGTGGAAAGAAGAAAGAAGCAAAAAAAGAAAAAAAAAACAGTAACGGAAATGCGCGCAAGACATAAAAAAAAGGATCAACGGCAACATTTTGCGAAATTAGTGCAGGCGGCCACAAAGGTGTTTTTTTCTTCTCTCCTTCTGAAATTTAGTATGCATATACACATGCACAAACAACCACACACACATTCATATATATATATATATGTATATTTTGATTTATGCATAAGTAATAAAAATTATAATAATGAAGGCGCTGACATGGGACGCAGAAAAGCAGCGAAAAGCAAATGTGAAAAAATTGCGTTACTCTGGTAGCACACGTGATGCTGCTCTCTCGCTCGCATACATGTATGTATGCTGTGTGCCCTTTTTGCTGCTCTGCTCTGTGCGTGTCCGTTACTTGGCGCGCAAACTTTGTAAAGCTACAGTTTAAATACCGTTGGGGGTGTCTCCAAAAATGAGTCACAATTCGCAAATAATTTGAGCACAATGAACTACTTCCTTGCACCGCTTTTATTTTTATTTTATAACGGCAAGCTTGTAAATAATCGAAAGGGCAACTGAAAGTAACGCCAAGCTTTTGCGTCGTTAGGGTTTTGCCAGTATATACCTTTCTCACTTGCTCTAATGTCCTGTTGTCACTCAATTTATTGCGTCATAGGCGCTCGATGTAGATGTGTATGTCCATACATACATATGTATGTACATATGTGTGTGTAGTTGTATGTGTGCATGCCTGTCAAACTGCAAGCGTCAGTTATTTGATGGTCGGACATAAAAACAGAATTTGGACTTTGTACAGGCTGTAAAAAGTTGAGAGAGCATCTCTGCTGGTGTTGCTGATTCTGCGCTGCTGCTGCACCCAAACGCCAAACGGTTAAACATAAAAACTAACGGCAGTTTTATAACTCTAGCATAAGATTACCTTTTGAGTGCATAGACTTCGTCTGCCATCTTGGTCCTCATCGCCGAAAAAAAAAATTGAGTTGAGCGCAAAAGAAAACCATTTCGGCGACGAAAATTTTAACGTACGAGTGGGCGCAGGCGCAGGCACAGGCACAGGCGAAGGCGGTTTCCAAGATTCCCGAAGATGATACACAAGCAATCAAAAGAAATGCAATGGCTTTTGTACTGAGTCTTTCCTTGTCGTGCTGCTGCACTTGCTGCACCGTTAGGTCCACGTTGTGCAGTTTGGCCTCGGCCTCAGCGCGAGTTCAAGATCAGCGGCTGCCGCACCCACCAAAGCTGCATCTGCGTAGCATTTCAACGTTTAAGTTTACAACGGCGGCAGCGGCAACAGCAGCAACAGTAGACATGTTGTTTTTGGCATATTTCCTGCATGTCTCTTTGCACTTAAGGCACACAATTAGTTTCTGTTCTGTTCTGTTCTGTTCTGTTCGTTACATTCAGCACTTTGTCTATCGTCTTCACATTTCAAGTAACGGTTTCGCAGTTAGCAAATAACAAATAAAAACACATAAATAGCACAGAGACACAAACACCAACTACCTTTACCGAGCCAAAAGTCTACTACGAGAGATCATTTGAACGGCACAGTTGCACAGTCGCACAATTCGCGTCGTCCGAGAAGAGTTCTTATTTCACAACCGTCCTCGTTGATGGTGCGCGCGCAATTGATTCCTTCTTCAGCGACAACGTCGCTCGTAAGCGTCAGCCACAGAGAAACAAGAAGAACTCAGCAGTTACTTCGCTGCCGGCTTCGAAAAGGCAGCAGCCTGGCAAATATGCGAGCACGAAGGCAGGCAGGCAGAGACCCGACATCGTATGCGCACGTTGTGCGCGTCGCTGAGAAGTGGTGTTTTCCAATCACGAGCAGCTTCGTGCTGCGGCCCGTGCGCATCTCTTTCATAATAACGGACGTTTTTTGTGTGTTCGCCTTTGCAGCAGCGACAAAGGCAGCAACGGCAGCAACGGCAGCAGAGGCAGCAGCGCTCGCAACAAAATACAAAGAGGAGCTCATCGATCTTGCACTAGGGGCTTTAGTTTGAGTATACGCCGGCATGCATATGCCCTGCCTTTCAGGTTTGTTAGGATATTTTTCCCGTTTTGTATAGAATATTGTAGAAGTCCTTAAGGTAACAAAGCTACTGTGCGGCGTTTTCATGGTTTTACATAATAAATATAAAATGTTTATTTGCATATGTATGTACGAATAAGGTATATACATATATATGTATAATAATGATAAGAAACTAATGTTACGAACATACTCTCTATACCTGGAAATTTCCAGGTGTGTATCATGAATACATATGTTTGTATTTTTGTACTGCAATCTAAATTATCAAATTTTAGGAAAAATGGCAAGCAGATTATGTTTATATGTAATATGCACTTACATATGTATGTGTACATTATTTTATGAATCCATAATGAAGTTTAGTGTATGTACATAAGTAAATAAAGTAGATTTTTTTCTTTTCATATACGCAAATTGCTTTATAATCAGCTTAAACTTTATCATTAACTCACTTAATGAAAATAAGAATATATGTGCTTATTATTTAAGTGTTTGTCCACCCTAAGGAGCTTTCACTGTGCAGTTATACTAACAGCTCTCTGAGCCATGCCTAATGAACACTTAAGATCTGCCCCTTTTCTGGATGCCTTTAGGGCGTTTTAATATCGTGTATAGGGATACCGAAACGTATATATTATTTTATTTTAGACTTTAAATAAAATATGAAAATAATTAGCTAACAAATGTACGTAATTAATGTGCTGGCCCTGCAGCAAAGGTTCGCAACTTAAGAGTGCCGAAAAACTCGTATAACCAAAATCTTGCAGAGACAACTCCATTAGGGCGGCCCACATTTCGCTGGCAGGTGCAGCGAGTTGCAGCTTGATGTGGCAGGGGGTACGAAGTATAAAAAAAAGTAAAAATCATGAGGAAAGTTTTTTTTTTTTGCATGGGCGCGTGGCTAGAGAGTACAGATCGGAGACCCGCATGTGGCAGGACATCGATCGATGACGCGTCGCATGTGCCACTGACTATGGTGAGTCGCCACAGAGGAAGGGGAAGGGGAAGGGGAAGAGCAACAGCAACAGCAACAGCAACAGCAACAGCAATTTAGCATAACTGCGCGAATGGCACAGGCATCATTAAACACATTAACAGACACAGACACATACTCACACTCACACTCACACGCACACGCAGTTGCAGACTTGGCTAAGAGCTGGCAGGTGATGGCCAAGAGGCCGACAAACAGTTGCTGCTGCTGTTGCTGCTGCTTGGAATTGAATGACGGACAAATTGACAAACGGACGAGCCGAATGACGCTTGGGTAAACTGTACTGCGCAGCCGGCGTTCACTTTAATGAGTTTAACCCGTGCCTGCGGCCAAGCTGCCGACCCCCCTCTGCTCTTCTCATACTCTTCTCAGCTCCACTGCTGCTGCCAGTTAATTACAAAAGGATGCGCCGCCTGCCAGGATAACAGCTGCCTCGCTCGAAAGCCGCAACACGTAATGCCAATTGATTTGCGCAAAGCTCAGCATTGCCAGCGGCAGCTGCACAACTGGATCCTTGCCGATCCTGCTCAGATCGCTCAGACACTCAGAGAAATAACTGACAAGCAACTGAAGAGCTTAGCGTGTTCCGTTCACCTGAGTTGGTTGATATGCTAGAAATATATAGAAAAGGTTTTTCAATAGGTATACATTATTTTCTCTGAAAAACTTTTTATGTATAAAATTTGTATATTAAGACATATTATTATTATTTTGAAAAAGAAAAAAAACATATCTAAAAGAAATGAAGCATACAAGTTTTATGGTATTCTATAGAACATTCTAGGGAAGTTATGTTAAAGAACTTTATGCGTTTATTAGATGCAAACTTTTCTTGAATTTTGTTCAATTCAATACGATTTTCTTCAGACAGATCATTCTAGAATATTTTAGAAAATTGTTCTTTTATCTGGCGAAACAAAGACATAAATAAAGTTAAAATTGAATTAATTGAAAATATATTATTAATATTTAGTTTCTTACATAAGAAAGAACGGAGAAATGAATTGTAACTTTGGAGTTTGTGAGAGTTTATATTGCGCATGTGTGTGTGTGCGCATTTCTAATGAACCGCATTGTCTCGCTTAAAGAAAGCACAACACACACACACACACACACACACACAAGCACACTCGTACGCACATACCAAAAAAATCTCCTGAAACTAGTTTGCGTGGTCTTTGAGAGAAACCGGTAATATTTATGAGCCCAGCGCCCAAGGTTTCCCTTGCATCTTGCAAAAAAAAAAAGAAAGAAGAAGGAGCAGAAGAAAAAAAATTCATTGAAGCGTTTGAAATTTTGTTTTGATTTTCCATGTGGCATGGCCCCGGCAGAACTCCTAACGAACCATGGCAAATTGTCTAATCTGCCAACTGTCTTCACACCTTTGACGCGTCGGCATTTGGTTGATGGGTTACGCTTCGGCTTTCAGATTGCCTTTGGCTCGGGGTCTGGGTCTGGGTCTGGGTCTGAGTCTAGGTCTGGATTGCATATTACATTGTCGTTTACAAGCCACCCTATAACAGCACCCGATACTGCCCTCTAACCCAACAAATGGGCCATTACATGTCGCTTGACGAGCATTGAATAAGAAGAGGAAAAGTACACACGGCCCAAATGTTTAATTAATTGTTTGTAATTTGTTTATGTGTTCAAAGCAATTTATTTCGTCCTCTGGGTTAGCCAGTCAAAATGGTAGCACATCATTCAATTTGTGATCTCGCAGGCTCTAGTTAGCTCTGCGGATGGGCAAGCAAATGATGAAGTGCGGACAAGACTAGATTTTTGTCGATCGCTGTTCCTCCAAGGTAATGCTCATACGTGTAGTTCATTATCGGAGAGAGCTGTAAGTAAATAATTGTTGTTATTGGTTTATAGTTCATATTTATTGTGAATCCTCAGAATTGCTCTTCAAGCGGATCTTCCATGTATACATATATCAGTGAGCTATATTGCTCATCTAGTTTTTGGTTTATACTCGCATTGATACATATATATTGTATAAATAATACATTAATAGTTAAAAGTAGTCATAAGCAAATTTGAATGTATAAATTGATTGATTACTTTTATTTTCTCATGATTCTCAGGGATCCTCGAGGCGCTTGCTTCAACTACTACATCTAGCTTCTCATGAAATTGCTCTGTGATTCTCGATGCGTGAATTTGAAGTGTTTCGCTCTTGTTGAGCTTTCTCAATAGAACGCCCAATTATGTTTCACCCTTGCTTTAAGGCGCATAAAATATTTTACATAACAATAAAATTGTTAATTATTTTGAGCGATCTTGCTACACTTAAGGACCGAATCACCCCATTTGATATGATCCAAGATCTTATATTTATATATAATAATTAGCATAATAATACAATTTGACTATCATATTTGTAGCGATCTGGCGACCATTGATATTATTTAATCAGCTCGAACTTCGATCCCTCGTCGATCAATGTGAATATGAGCTGATCGCCGGCTGCGCGTAACTCAGCGTGGCGACATCTTGTACATGTATGCGTGCATGTATGGCTGTATGCTATATACATACATACATATTTTTAATACAGTTATAAATTTGCTCAAAACATAAACGTGACATTGATCTACAGCCGTTGGGTGAATCACAAACGATCTTGCTGATCTTTTTGTTTCTCACAGTCCGAGAACAGAAGGAAGTATTCTTTCAGTACTCTGAGACAGTTTGCGTAAATTTCGGCGATTTTATAAAAGCAAGAGCTACTTAAAGTGATCGCAGGGCAACTTTTTGATCACCAAAAAGCAAAAAGCAAAAAATATAAGAGAAGCATATCAAAGCAAATAAAATCAGACAAGAACAACATGTGAACGATTGCAAATTACAAGCATTGAAAGCAAGCAAGAGACCAAACTCTCTGTCTTTGTCTGTGTCTGATCGTCTGGCTGCGGGTCGGTTAATATCTGGCGATCAGGAGGACGCAATGGACCAGTTTACTTGAACTTTAAGTCATGCCCTAACGGATCAAGTATTCGCATTTTCTGACGGCCTCTGTAATATGTTTGCCAGCTCTACTCAGAGGAGATAATCAGTTGATTTACTCATCCTTTACTTTATCGTGTATCATAAATAGTTCTCTTTAAACTAAGCACTCTTTATAGTTAGCATTATGAGCACGTTAGCTAATACCTCTATCGGAATCAGCCTCTATTGGATTGTCATTAACCTAGATTGAGCAGAATATGATGTATTACTAAAACCCTTATTTATTTAACTTTTTAAGATCACGTTTTTCGCTTAATATCCCATCTGAAGAGCATTCGGTTTTCTGTGTCTGTAAGATAGTTGATCGCGTTTTTCTCTCAAGTTCCTTTTTTTGGACTCTTGGCTGGCAGCTGCTTCTTTTTGGTTTGTCGTCATTACGAAAAGGAAGCTAAAGACAAACGGATATGCGTTGCACATCAAGCAACTGTTTTTTGTTTTCTTCTCTTTAGGGCTTTTCACTTCTTGGCGTAAAATAAATTGTGCGACAGGTGCGACGATGTCGACAACTGGACCCCAAAAAAAAAAAAAAAAAATCAACTAAAACCAAAAAAATAAAAAAATAAGCCCGAATATAAACCAAAAAGTAACATTAACCGCAGAATCTGCTGCAAAGCTTTGGTTGCGCCTCACGTATGTGTGGGAGCGAAGCTTTCGATCCTTTGTCGATCTTCTTCGATCTTACAGCTGCGCATAATTGCCAAGTCTCGACTGCAACTGCGACTGCATTTACAAGACGCAGCTGTTACTTCCGCCTGAATGAGTTCTTAGGGTTTACTTAAGGTATCGGAGCAACGATTGTTGCCCTGGCTCTGGCTCTGGCTCTGGCTCTGGCTCGTCTAAGGCTCTGGCTTACAATAAGCTGGCTACTTAGACGCACGGCTCGTTGTCTTGATCCTTTCTCTTTCGCTCCAGCTCTTTCTAATGCTAATCCTGCACAGTGAACCGGGGCAGCTCGCTACCTGCCGGCTGGCTCTGCTCTCGATCTTATACTCCCGCTTGCGGGTGCTCAGACATCCTATTGAATTAATGTGCGGCATTAGCAGCCAACAGGTTTGCGTCTACTGTGCCAGCAGACATCGACATCCTTTGCTTATTTTGTTTTTGGCCTCTTACTAGGAAAATCCCGCAACGATCGTGGCACGCATGGATCATGCAACGTTTTAGGGTTATATACACTTTTTGGGCACGTAGCCCATCGAGAATATTAGCTCAAAATAACAGGTGTTGACTGATTAGTTTCAATGGATCTTCGCGGGTGCGATCGACAGATCCGAGGATCGGCCCTGCAATGCCTGGCGGCACGTATCAAATTGATGACTGATGATCGACTATGTGGCCTATGTAGCGATTGCCACCTGTACGAGAATACAGCTTTGGGTACAGTTGCGATCGCTTCGACCGTTGCTCATGGCAGATGTTTGCATATCGCATTGAAGATCACCACACACACAAACACACACACACACTCACATATACAGACACAATTCTTTTCAAAAGCAAATACTCGTTGTGTGCTGTCCATGGACCTGCAGCTGGCCGAGGCTTCATATTTTGCATTTCGAAAATGCAAACAACAAGCGAAACGAAACGCAACGAAAACAACATTTTTGCCAAATACAAAAGGATCAGTCGCTCACAGACAAAAGGCATCCTGCTGCAGCCAGGACATGCCGCGTTAGCCGAAAGTCCTGCATTTCCGTTGATTTATTATTCTGTTCCATTGATTGATCTACAGCGAAATTTACTTGCGGCTTAAGCAAAACACAAAAGAACAGTCCAAGAAAGAGATAGTTCAAATATGTATCTATACCTCGTATTATCTGTTGCACGGGATCTTGCGCAAGCGGATTTTACATTTCATTTACCTCGAGCACTGGTTTTCGAAGATCGATTGATTCGTTGTTCGCTGGGAAAATGAATTTGTCAGAGTTTTCCTTGCAATTTTCCCAGACTCAATTCGCTTAAATCTTTACCGAAGATCTTTATAAGAATCTGTCCAAAATTCAAACTGTTGTTGTATAGTCGCTCTACTACCCTCAAATATATGATACAATTAATTAAAGCGTAGTATATATTTTCGAATCCCTCGATCGTATACCAGATCAGTGTAACTTACGATCATTAGCACAAATGATGTTTATATGGTACTATATAAATGGATCTTTGGGCGTCAATGAACTTTCGTACGAACGTAACCACACGATTCAGGCAGAAGATCGGAGCAGTGATCGCTGATCATCGACTGATCTTTGACTCTGTTTGCGATGCCAGGTTCGATGTTTGCTCAACAAAAACAAAGCCCAGGGTAAAAATGTAACTGAAATTGTGTTTACACTTACCTGAAAGCAAATCAAGCGTGGATTGAGATCGCTTTTATCTTCAATAACTTTTTCAAGTTCATTCGGCCAGCAGCATCCTTTTGCTGCAATTCCACAAAATGTTTATGAGACTATAAAAAAAACAAGAGCATAAAAAAAAATTAAAAATTAAGCGAGCTTTTGGATTTTGTTCCTCTTTTGATTTACAAACTTCCGGTTGTTTTTTTAGAGCGCTCGTAATTTGATCTGTTTATGCGTTAAGATATTCGCATAAAGTTGGCAAAAACAAAAATGAAAAAAAAAAACACAGACGACAGCTGAACGCAAAGCTTGCACGTGCAACGTTTACACATCAAATAAACAAAAGAAAGATGTAGAAAAAATTAGTATTTGTAACAATTAAACGGAAACGTCACAAATCTCGTTTGTTGCATTTCCCAACAAGAGACTAAAAATTTCAATATGAATGCATATAGCCTAGGGCAAAGAAATATATATACATGCATACACACATACATGTGTGTATGTATATGCACTTATATATATAGGTGTATAATTATGGCTGTTAGTTGATCTTCAGGAAACTCGCAAGACACAAAGGCGCATTGCATTTGCAAAAAGGCCTACCCAACTCAAAGACGACAAGGATAAGGACAAGGACAAGGACAAGGACATGGGACTGAGCCAAAGAACAACAAGGGCAAAAGAAGCTGCGCAAAAACAAATATGAAAAAAAAAGAGAAATAAAAGCGTGAGAATTCGTTTGCTCACGACGCAGTTCCACATTTAGCAGCGGCAACTTTTTGGGGATAATCACAGCATCCTTTGGGCTAAACCACCCCATTTTACGTTGTCCTAGTGGGCCAATGCGTAACATTTGCCATTCCATTGGGGGTTGCATAAATTATAAATCAAGAGTACCAATTCAAGTGCGTAGTTGCAGAACACCTTTGATTGCTTTTTAACAAGTTTTACGCGTTTTTAAAATCTCATATTTGGTACAGTTTCTGCTCTGCTCTTCTCTGTCCACTGTTTTTTCTGTTCTTTCTTATCTATATTGTCTTCAGTTTACTCTTTTCTTTCATCTATATTCTATCTTCTTCCCTTTCTGTCTTCTATCTTCTTTCATCACTCTTCTGATTTCTGTGTGGTGTCTTCTATCTTCTCTTTTTTCTCTTCTCTCTTCTCTTCAATTCTGTCCTATTCCACTTAATCAGATCTCCAGAATATAATAGAAAAACAAAAAATACCTCTGGCATAATCATTTTCCGCAGTGTATGTCAATTGTTTGGCAATAAGACCAACCCCATGGCGAATCGGTAAACTGGAACCCTGTTTGGAGATGAGTTACGCATAGCAAACAATAGGAACATGGCACAATAATTGTACCAAAATTTCGACTTCGGCTTTGGCTGAAAGGAATGCGCAATACAGTTTCCTATACGCATTTCAATGGCAAAGATTATGCGTAGCTAGACGAAGATGGCAATCAACAAGGAACTCTTAGATTCCATATATATGTGTGTGTGTGTGAGTGCGTAATTATTATTTTTTACGATTGGGGTTGCGCGGCTGCCAACAATCCCAATAGGGTTGGCCCAAGCTCAAGGGCAGCCCGGCTGACAAAGGCCAAGGGACCCTAACTAGAGCAGATCACAAACAATGGGACTAACGCAGAGGCGAGGATCCAGATTATGAATTAATAATCAAGTTGGCTATAATAATGCCATAACCTTGAGGCAAAGGTAAATAATAATTAAACCACACACACACACACACACACATACATACAAGTAGGCACACGTGTTGCTGCCACCAGAAGTTGTTGCCGAACGGGACAGTCCTGGGCAGAGTCGAAATGGAGTACAGCTGCCACTCAACAACGTCTTGTAATACCCTCGAGTTATCGAAAGTGTTTCTTCAAATAGGGTATAATGCAGTTATGATAACTCATAACTTTTAATTTCGCTCTCTTGATTCAGAGATGAATTTAACTGAGTTCCTGACTTGGATAATATCTGATATGTCTAGTGAGAAGGTTCTAGAAGCACAAGCGCAATGAGTTATATCTAAGACAAATCAGTAGTTCTGTATAAATAAATAAGACACAAAACTTTCTTAAGATCTAACGAAATTCATAGTTGTGTAGAGGGTATCCGCTGGTCAGTCAAGTCAGGCTAGAGCATTGTGACTTGTTTTCTTTTTGAGCAGCTGCAACAGCTGTCAAGGAGTGAAACCACGTGCCAAGGTGAGTCAGCAGCAGCAGCAGCAGCAGGAGGCAAAGCTATTATCCTGGCAGCCATTTTGTGTGGCGCTTAACTTGAGCGAGTCGGCAGCAAGGAGCAGCTGCTGAGAACACGATCACACCAAACACATTTATCTCTGTGGCAACCAGTTCGACGCCCTAAGCTTGCAGCAAGTCCTGCCTGTCAGTTGCTTTGTCCTTTCAGAAAAAGCTGTCGGTTCCAAAAGAACAGATGTTATGTATTTCTTTAATTCTTTTTTTTTTTTTTTTTTTTTTTTTTTTTTGTTTTTTTGTCTCCTGAGCGAACGTGTTTCCAAACATGATTTATGGCTGAGCTGCTTTTGCTTCTACTGATGCTGCTGCTGCGGCTGCTGCTATTCCAGTAGATTTTTCTTAGAGCATTGTTTGCCATTGACCAGCTGCCTGGGTCTTGGTTATTGGGTCTCGTGTGCCTTGCGTCTTATGTCTTGGAACTGGTTTCTCCCGATCTGCTTCGCTTTTGTCTCATTTTTATGGCGTGTTATGATTTCGTATTACAATTAGCTAGACAAAAGGCACGCTGCCTAGTTCTGTGCTTAAAGAGCCCAGGCCGCATTGTCTATAAATTTTGTTATTTTGCAGCCGCATTAAACTTGTCACAATTGTGCAGTTAAGTAGACATTAGAATGTGCTCCGAAATGTGAGCTCTTCATTAGCCGGCTGCCAGGCTCTCTACTTTTTGGCCATAATTATAAAAGTCAGGCGAACATGAATCGCTGTGGCATGCAACGCCTCCCGGCAGCACTTAAGACAAATAACTTACACACCTATCGACAGGCCCAATGGCCGGGGGCGTGCGCGTCTGCGCTCTTCGTTTAGCTTGACGCATTTTCAATTAGTTTTAAATCAGAACTAATTGAATTCATTTTTAGCCTCCGCATCGCATCGCATCTATGCAATCTTATCTTAACAGTTATGATGGTCTGCATGGCAAGCCGGTGCAACCAGCCAGTGTTTTGGCATTCTATGCCGAAAATTTATTGACAAAAATTTGCAACACAGATTGCATAGGGAGTCCACCAGGAAGCTGCATGACCAGTAGCTTGGCGCGTAGGTAAGAGGCAGCCAGCAGTCAGAACCTGCCATCGGCACATGTGAAATCTATGACCATAGCTGTGCATAATAAATGGAGCACTTGCGCACCGGTTGGAGGCTTTGGCTGCGGCGGCGTCGACTCATGCAAAGCGACAGGTAAATGGCACACAAAAAGGTTAGCAAAACTGAAACCATAGGCAGGCGAATGGCGCGCTGCATATGGAGCGCAGTCTGGTTCAATTTGGATGCATAGCTTCCGTGCAAACAAGTGGCGCTGTCTGCAACAACAATTCCAATAACTTAAAATGGGCAACATGCCACTACTTTCTTTTGCATAGAGAATTTGAATTTAACTGATGGTTAACCAGACAAAAGCTGACTGGTACAAAACTATATAATGAGAGAGAATGTTTACGATTAACAGAAATCTCTTATCACTAACATAAGTATTAACGTTGGAATTTCAATCGATATATCGATAAGTTGGGATATTCTTGCATGGCTCTATAGAGACAGATTTCGCTAGGCCAGTCTATGATAGAAGAGTACAAATACTTCACTGACGACACATGTATGCATGCAGAGAGACCATGATGTGAACGTGTAAAAAATATTCTTCCAACATCTTTTAAATTGATTTTAAAAGTAGCCGTACTAATTTCGTTTCGTAACATATGTTTAGAACACTCATTACAAACATGATTGGACATATTTCTTAACAGCAGTTGCTTTTCTGACGTCATGCGCCAAAAGAGCGAAAAGCCGCATACCTTTACGTAACATCCTTCATCTGCATTCAGCTGTGACCATCCATTCACTGTAATCAAAATCAATTGAAACTAATCAAGACGACCGATAGCCCCACGAAGAGAATAAAAGGTGGAAAGCTATCTGGTAATTAGACCTAAGCTTCACCAGTCGTAAAAGGTAAGCGATAATTATAGATAATGTGAAAACTGATAAGCGACAAGCAATTGCCGGTACAAACAGCACTGACATTAACATTGATTTGTTGCCAAAATCAGGTAAAAACCAAAGAAACATGTTCCGAAGGCTTAGTTCTTTGAAGGTCAGCAGAATGCGTGGTTTCTCCGCGTTGGTGCAGACCAAGGCGCTGGTAAATGGAAATTGGATCGATTCGAGCAGCAGACAAACTTTTGAGGTGAAAAATCCAGCCACTGGTGAGGTGATTGGCAATGTGCCCGACATGACAGTGGAGGATGCACAGCAGGCCATTGATGCCGCCAAGCAAGCGTATGAGTCCAAGGAGTGGCGTGCACTAACCGCCAAGGATCGGTCTAATATGCTCAAAGTAAAATAAATTGAAAATGGAACGCCATGAGTTATGTATTAAATACCTCTTATCTCTTGCAGAAATGGCACGGCCTTATTGAAAAGCATGCTCAGGAAATCGCCGAAATCATGACAGCCGAGTCTGGCAAACCAATCAATGAGGCCAAAGGCGAGGTCGTCTATGGCAATGCGTTCGTCGAGTGGTTTGCCGAAGAAGCCCGTCGCATCTATGGCGAAATTGTGCCCAGTGGACAGCCAAATCGCGAGGTGATTGTCATGAAGCAGCCCATAGGCGTGGCGGCGCTAATAACACCCTGGAATTTCCCATTGGCCATGATAACACGCAAGGCAGGAGCTGCTTTGGCAGCTGGCTGCACTGTGGTCGTCAAGCCATCGGAGGACACGCCACTGACAGCGCTCGCTGTTGCCAAACTGGCCGAACAGGCGGGCATACCCAAGGGTGTGATCAATGTGGTGACCACCAAGAAGGCCGCACCAATCGGTGAACTATTTTGCAAGAGTCCCGATGTGCGTGGCATTAGCTTCACCGGTTCTACCCAGGTGGGCAAGCTGCTGTTCCGCAATTGCGCCGACGGGATTAAGCGTGTGTGCTTGGAGCTAGGTGGTAATGCACCGTTCATAGTCTTCGATTCGGCCAATGTGGACAAGGCAGTGGATGGCGCCATGGCATCCAAGTTCCGTAACTGCGGACAGACGTGTGTCTCGGCGAATCGCTTCTTTGTGCAGGAAGGCGTCTATGATAAGTTTGTGACAAAGCTGAAGGAACGCGTCGAAGCGCTTAAGATTGGCGATGGCAAGTGCAGCGATGTGCAAATCGGTCCGCTGATCAATAAGATGCAGTACGACAAGGTCAGCGGTTTTGTGGAGGATGCGCGCAACAAGAAGGCCAACATCATAGTTGGAGGCAAGGGCCTGCAGGAGGTGGGCGATCTCTTCTATGCACCCACAATAGTCACTGATGTGCCAACGTCGGCGCATATCTATACCGAAGAGGTCTTTGGACCCGTGGTATCTATCATCAAATTCAAGGATGAGGCGGAGGCGGTGCAAAAGGCAAACGATACGCAACGTGGCCTTGCAGGCTATTTCTACAGCGAGAACCTGCAACAGGTGTTCCGTGTGGCCAAGCGGCTGGAGGTGGGCATGGTGGGTGTGAATGAGGGCATCATCTCCGCACCAGAGGCGCCGTTTGGCGGCGTGAAGGAGTCGGGCGTGGGACGCGAAGGATCCAGTCATGGCATCGACGACTACGTGGATATCAAGTACATATGCATGGGCAACTTAAAATATGACTAATGTTCCCATTACGCACGCGCTATAGCTTTAAAATGCAGTCTTCCACAAAAACGCTTGTATGTTGTAAATTCCAATTCAAATTATTATATAAATGTGCACAAGAAAAATAATGTTAATATTAAAGTTTTAAATTTACGTTAATGCATTTTTTTCAGCATTCAGCTGTTAAATCATATCGCTCCACCGCCACATGCATGACAGAGCTGTTATACTATTAACAGCATTCGGTATTTTATCTTTTTAGTACCATTAGAATAGTGTGCGCATGGTCACACTTAGTCCCTACTGTCTACACAAGTGCTGTTTTGCTTCCAAGTGTAATTTTTTTGAAGCAATGTCCGATAAAATTGTAAGTAAAATGCTAATTGGAGTGATAGAAAGCAATAATTAAGTTACAAGGCAGAATCGAGCACTCTACAATTGTATACTCGAAGAGTATATAGCTGACGCCATGCTGTGCTTTCTGTTCGCTTCAAAACGCCGGCATATAACATTTTCGCCAACGCTCTGTTGTTGCAGTTGCTACAAGAAAATTTCTTATTTTGTTGAATTATTTGTATTAATTCTGCACCGGTTATGCGGGAAGTGTAGTGCATAATGGAGAATCCGTCGATGAGTACGGTCAGTGCGAATTCGTTGCCACGGCGACGCCGGACAACAGACACGACGCAGGACAGACACAGAAACAAAGGTACAATGACTTGTAGATTTTGCAACCAAAGCCACGGACCGATAGAGGAGGCGCCGCGGTGTATGTATACAATCGTATATTTTTGTGGCCATGACAGTGAGAACCTTTTCTCTTTTTGGCACAGTCCTATCGCATATATTTACATTTTGTGAGCAATGCCAAAAAATACGATATTTGGTACGAATTTGTTTTCCTGTTGCAGTTAAATGCGCGGTTTCATGTCGTACAGTTCCATACACCAAGTTTAAGGCCTTTTAGGCTAATCCAAGTAGCTCAAGCTACGCCTAACAATAACAACCACAGCAACAGCAGGCCAAGACAACAGCAAGAACACCATGGCCAGCGCTCCTTTGCTGCTCGAGCAATTCATCTACAAGAAACGAAATTTCGTTTATGCCTTTGTGCGGCATCGTCTCTTTACGTTATGTAAACAATCGGTGTGATCGATGCATTTCTCTATTAAATGTATGCAGCATCTAACCAGCTTTCAAATGTGCTGCTTGAATTACAGCTAATACGCGTGCAGTCTGCGGAGGGCATCAAACGCATCGAGATCTCGCCAAAATCAAATCTAAAACAGCTTTATGACAGCGTACAAAATGTGCTCAAGGTAGATGGCTTTGGTCTTTTCATGGAGCGGAACTTCGCCACAGAGCTACACGCAAGCGGCAGCCAGCTGGTGGGCAGCGCTCTCAAGCATGGCGACATGGTCTATCTAAAACAGATTGCGGGCACTTCATCACGCGTGAGTTTATTAATCATATGTGCTATATTCCATATTAATATATTCTGATTTATAGCGCACGAGCACCACAGCGATTGACAATATGTCGTTCAATAGCGCTAAGTTATCCACTGATAGACTTACCAACAGCTTACGTCCATCCATTGATGTGATCGAGGATGAGGTGGATCAACAGTTGTTTAAATCGAGTGGCACCATTAAACGTGAACGCGATAGTAAGCTGTAAGTTGATTACAGCCGAAGTAAAATTATTTTATAAAAGAATACTAATATATATTACTTTCCTCATTTAATTTGCATAGTTGTCATCACAATGCCAATGGTCGTTGCGTTCATTGCTCTCCGTTGGAACCATATGACGAGAATTATCTGAAGGAACATAATATCAAGCATTTGTCCTTCCATTCGTACATACGCAAGCAAACTTCTGGCATGGATCACGGAAAGTATTTTGTATTCGATGACATCAATTGTCGCATTAAGCCCGGCTGTCGGGAGCATCCGCCATGGCCCAAGGGCATTTGTTCCAAGTGCCAACCATCGGCTATAACACTCAACCGTCAAACCTATCGTCATGTGGACAATGTTATGTTTGAGAATACCAAAATTGTAGAGCGCTTCTTAAATTATTGGCGTACCACAGGCCATCAGCGCATGGGATGGTTGTATGGCACCTATGAGCAGCACACGGATGTGCCTCTAGGCATACGTGCCAGAGTGGCGGCAATCTATGAGCCGCCGCAGGAATCGTCTCGTGATTCAATAAACATCTGTCCAGATGAGAACGCTGATGAAGTGGATGCCGTAGCCAAAGCACTAGGACTTAAAAAGGTGAGCAATCAATAAATTTCTAAGTTGCAGTTTTAAATCATATTATTTATAGATTGGATGGATTTTCACGGATCTAATTACTGAAGATGCAAGCGCTGGCACTGTAAAACAAATACGCGGAATTGAAACACATTTTCTGACCGCTCAGGAGTGCATTACAGCGGGTGAGCTGCAGAATCGTCATCCGAATCCATGTAAATATGCCACAAATGGCACATTCGGCTCTAAATTTGTAACAATTTGTGTAACTGGTGAGTTTAGCTTAATGATTATAAGTATTTATGTATATATAAAAACATTTATATTTATACGTTGTGCGTTTGTCAGGTGATCAAACCAAGCAGGTGCACATGGAGGGTTACGCTGTTTCCGCTCAATGTATGGCTCTGGTTCGTGATAATTGTCTAATACCTACCAAGGATGCACCCGAACTCGGCTATGTCCGAGAATCGACTGATAAACAATATGTCCCGGACGTTTTCTATAAGGTATGTAACATTTATGTACATTATATTATATAAATAGATTGTCATCAATTGCGATTCATTCCAAAGAAAATTTATTAGTCAGCACTGGACTGTGGATTCAGTCATATGCTCTTAATGAAAGCTTAAATACGAATCGAGTTTCCTAAGTTAAAGTAGGAATAAAACGAATCAAACAATATGTTTTTGGAATAACATTAGTGAATTTATTGAACTGCAGACATATAGAATTAAAACATGGGATTAGATATATGTATGTATATATTCATTTGCCATATTTATATAATGCGTTTGTAAACTTCCAATCGATCTCTTCCTAACGGCTTTTCAATCCGCATTTGATATACAAAATAATTTTTTGTTTTAGTTTTTCGCAAAGGAGGTGCTTTTTGTCTTTTTGCTCAAAGATTGTCGTAGGAATTCGCCGATATTTTATATTTCGTGTGCATGATTGTTTAAACATTTAGACATTTTGATAATATATTCGTATTTTAAGTGTTGGTAAATGCTCGAGGAAGGATAAAATCTTTGAAATATTCATTTCAAGTAAGTTTAATTAATGAAATTAAATAATTTTGATTATATGAATAATACTTTTAATGTTGCGCTTTTATTTATTCATCTATGCGATAATTTTCCTTCTTCATTAGACATCGTTTTAAGCAATTATGCACAAAATTATTCATATAAATTTATTTTTCTTTGGCTTTCAAAGTTCTGTCGTAAAAATAAAATAACATAAATCGCTTCTTGTTTGTTTTTGTAAGTCTTAGATTCATGATTGAATATTTTAATTAATATAAACGCTAAACTTAACTAACTTAAAAAAAAGGAAAAAAAAATGTAAGAGCTTGGATTGTTAATTTACCTTGAATATGAGTTTATTAATATTTATAATAATAAATTCTTTAAATTTGCTATTCATCGTCCATCGATTTTTGATTCAAATTACATTCCAACTTGGATGGTTTAAAGTTGCATTCACTCAATTTAATATAACTTTGTAAGATTTTTTTCACTGTCTAGCAGTTTTATATGATTACTTTTATACTGATTATATTGTTTTTGTTTTTGTTTTTTTTTTTTTTCAATCTGATTTTCCATACAATTTTTTTATATAAACATACATATATATACTTATATGAAGATATTAACGATCTTCTATTGGCGATTGTGTGATATCAATATTAATTTCAATTTCGTTTTGGTTTTCACTTTGCGATATATATATATATATATATATATATATATATATATATTTTAATTATCAAGATTTTCCGAAAATAATTTCGTTTAGATTTAAATCTGTGTAGACAAAAATTTTTTCTCAAAATATGTATTCCAGTTGCTAGAAGTTTATGACTTCCTTTAAAATTGTATTGTAAACTGATGACGGAATGAGACAGATGATCCCGACTGTATACTTGTTTAAAAAATCTGTAAGGATTTCTTAAAAAAAAAACTTTCAAAAGTTGTGTATAGCAAGTATATGTGATTTTCGATGCATTTTTATATCTTCGGTAAAGTGCATATCAAATTAACCGCTTATCACTAACCGTCTTGAGATATTTTGTAAAATTGAACTCAATAAAAGAGGGTTCATTCTAATTAATTTTGCAAAAGTTAATTTTCATATTAGGTTTTACAATATTTTTACTGGAATAGCATATTGGAAAAATAGTTCAATTCTTCTTTTTGGCACAGTTATGTGTCTGCTTTTTAGCAAGCTAATAGAATTTTGTACTTAAGTATTTTTATTATTTAGAAATTCACCATTCATTAATATTTTAACTTCCATTTGCGAATATTATTAGACACATAACACAAATATTTATTGACGATTAAACACATCAATGACATTTAGATATTTTTTAAATATATGCATATTTCTAATATTAGTAATCGCTCGAAAAAGATCTTTTTTTTTTTTTTTTTTTTTTTTTAAGTATTCAATCAAAGTGTGTTTTTTTAACTGAGTTTGAATCATTTTAATTAATCAAATTGATTGATTCACTTTTAAGCACATTTGCCATCTTCATAAAATTGCAATCCTAATTGTTTGTAAGTTTTCTTTTGAAATCGTCAATTATTGATATCTTTAATCAATATGGCTTCAAAAGTATTACCTCATATTCAAAGAACTAATCAATGTTGTAAATGAACTTTAAATCAGAGTCCAGTTTCAATATATAAATTCGTAATATTTTGCCATTGAGCATGTTCATGAATGTTCATGTTGCAAAGTACTTTGACTCTGACTTGGATGGTTTGCAGTTGTTTTGGCATAGTTATCTCTAACCTTTTCAGACATTTTTATCAATAATTTGAATACCTTTGTTTCACTGCCTTAAGCAGCTTTGTATTATTATTGTTCATTGACAATTGGTTGTGTTTGTTTATACATAACATATATTCTTCATGGATTGTTTTGATTCGTTCGCTTTCATCTCTATATAGTATTGTATTTTTTTTTTTTTTTTTTTTTTTTTGTTCATATTATTAGAAGGTTCTGTTAAAAGCTGTGCTACGGGAGGTGTTAGTTTATATAATGGAATACAATAGTCTTTAGGCTAAACTGTCAGGGCTACCACATAGCTAATCTTTTTCGAAAGTACCGACCCCACATACACCACAATCCTTGATAGAAATGCTCACCGTCGGATTTCCATGAGCATCGCCTGTGCTACCAATTTTGTCCAGCACTTCGATACCATCAATAATAAAGCCAAATATGGCCGTAAAGGTCCGTACATCATTGATTACCATGCGGAACTGGCTACCCACAAATCCGTGGTTGTCATATCGCTGCAGACCCCGGCGCATGCCCACGGCGCCTCGCTTGGCGGGCAATCCGGTCTTATCTGGCATAAAGAAGCGCTCCTCGAGTGCTGAATAGCCACCACGACCATTCTGCAACTCAAAGTCGCCTGTGGTGATGCTTTCATTGTTCCAGATCTGAAATACGCTGCAGCCCTTGTACCCAAAGCCGCGATGGTGCATAATGAGCGAATGGAAGTTCTCTGCCATTCGCGGGGCAACATTGGCGCACACTTCGATTAAAATGCGACCTATCGCTTTTCCTGACATTTCCATATCTAGAAAGTAAACGGGATTGCGTGCAGATGAGGGGGTGGGACTTAATTCCACTGCGCTCATCGGAAAAATGGGAAGAACCGGGAAACTGTCGCCTTGAGTGGAATGTGCTGCAGCTGCAGCGGCTGCCGCTGCAGCAGCTGATGTGCTGGGCAAGTCGAAGTCAAAGCCGGTCTGCATATTCGGTTGCTGATTTTGGGTTGGCAATGGCTGCACCTATGTGCAGTCATTGTTGTCAATCATTTGGGTTTTCGCAAGTTGCATTTTTTAGTCGCTCTGCTGCTCTAACTTGGCTCGGGCCAGATTAATAGTCGGCGAAACAAACTGCAGGCTTTGCACAGCCGGAGCAAATTATATGCAGGCAGTTCAGTTCATTCGGCTGCCGTTCGGGATCGTCTGGACAGTAAGTATGTTTGCATAGGTTGCAGGTGAGAAGACTCCAGTTCTCTTGGTATTCTCATAGTGTTACTGAATGTAGAGAGAGAAAGAGAACAATAGATTGTGTATTACCGAGCTTACCAAGTTGATGACAATGAACAGATATTAGTCCTTAGTTGATGAAAAATGATTGGAATATATGTAAAAAATACCGCAATCATATATATGAAAAGCCTTTCTATCTGCGTATATTAAAAAGTTAAAAAACAGGTCTGCCTATTGCTTAAGATAGGAATATTAATCTATAGAAGAAGCTATTTTCAAAACAAAATATTTTCAACCTATTGTCTATTAAGTGCTTTTGTATAAAGGTAAACACTTCCAAGTATTTCTAATAATATTGAGTCATATAAATCTCTTCTCTTCTCCCGTCAGTCTCTATTCTTGCGCAATTAATTTAATTTTCTGCTGCTATTTTCAAGACATCTCTATCAAGTTGGACTCCTGCAAAGCGGTACTAATTGAAAGTGCCCGACTAGTAAATGCTCTAATAAAGTTGTGCCCATTCAACTTCACTTATCTGAAATCAGAAAACATTTCAGAAGTTTTCTTTTGCAGCATATTGCATTTTCTTTTATCCTTCCCAGCTTTTTTAATTTCCATACAGCTCGATATCTCTGGATAATCAGCAATCAAATTTATTTTTAGCTTTGCAGCAGAGTTTTCCCTTCTGTAAGCTAGAGATATACTCTTAGAGAAATATTGCATTCGAAAATAAAAGCTAAGCAGTGAGTATTATGAATATTTAAAGCCATAAATGAATGAATGAAAAATCAGCCCTGCAAATTGGAATCGATGTGCCACGTCTGAATGCGTTTCAATTTGGATTTAGTTTCATTGTCATTGCCTAGAACAAAGTTTGCATTTTTGCATTGACTCGCAGGTACTCGCAGTGTTTGCATCTGTGTGTGCTCAGATCTGATTGCCCTCAAATACGAATGATGTTATTTGTCTACGGAATGTGTTAATGCATAAATATTTGCTCAAAAGAGTTTTGATTTTGTTTCTTTGTATTTAGCAACTAGAAACTTCGTCTTTGTGGTTATTAGCTAAAATGCATAATGCCATTTTGATAGCCCTGCTGAAGTTGGTATACTATCATTAATAACACAGTTGTATCATCAGATAAGCACAAAATGTTGTTTAGTAGGATTTTATTTTTGTTTGAAACTTCGAATCTATATTATTCATATATTCCCATATAACTTTTAACAACTAAGGTCCTGTTTAATCAGACATCCATCAGCATTAAGCTTAATTCGATTCGCCAGAATTTGTTTGTTTGTGTGTATGCGTGTATCTGTGGTCGTTGTTCCGTTGTTTGCCGTCAATCAAAAATCGCCACCACCAGCGCACGGCTCACTAATTATTTGCTAACTGTTGGAAAGTCATACGGGCATTGGCTAAATGATGGCGAATGGGTTCTACGACCATAAGTCGAGCATATTAAGTCAAATTTTTATCATAATTCAACTTGATTGCACCAATTAAGATCTCGGGGTTTGCCTAATAATTAAAGTAAAATGAGTCTCCTCAAGATATTCTGATATAAATGGTCTATAGTACATAAAAAAAAATAGTTTTTGCTGTGCATTTTTATGACATTTTTAACAGTACCCAAATTAGGTGCTATTTATAATACTAAAGTTTACGAATTGAATTTCAATGAAATATTTAATTTATTATTAACTTGCAGTTCAATTATTGCTTTAAACTTCGTATTTCTTACTTCTTAAATAGAAGCAAAACATTAGAATATCTAAAATAATACCTTTCCAGTGAACGGTCGCATCAAACTTTCATTTGTTAGTTAGTCCCAGAAACTAGGAAAACGTTAGCTAAAATGACGCAGGAGTTTTTCATGCTAAAAATTACACTCACCTCTTGCTGAAGCAGCATTTAATTTAAATTTGTATGTTTATATTATTATTATTACTTAAATTGTATCTTTGCACTTTAGCGCCCTACTTACGCTGTTATAGTCACTTTAACCTGTATTTTATTATTATTATGTTTTTTTTTTATTAATTTAATTTAATTTATTAATATTTTTTATTTATTTTCTTTTTATTTTTGCGTTTGACTGCTTAATTTAAACCACTTTGTATGCACTTGCAGGACGCCAACACTTTGAATATTTTACTTCCACTTTTTTCATGAATATTCTTTGCTTTACTGTTTGATCTTTGCACTCGGCTATTGTCTTCGCTTTGAATCTCTTGCTCTTGCTGTTCCTGCTCGAATTGTTGATGTTCGTCTATTTTCTGTAGGTGCTGTGCTTGCTGCTGGCAGCGGCGGGCTTTGAATGCTGCATTACTGATTTGCCAATTGCTGGCGTAGACGCGGGGTGGCTTGGCGTGTTGCTGCTGATATGTGGGCGTTGCACTGGCAATAGCTGTGGAGTATCGCGGGGAAGCTGGTGCTGCAGCTGTGGACGCAACCGCTGTCCAAAACATTACTAATACTACTGCAGTTGTTTCGGTTGCCAAGCTGGCTATGCATGTTAACAGTCGTTCAAAAGACTTTGAGATAATTCTCGTTGTTGTTATAGTTCCAGTGAAGCGCGCTGTTGCATCGCTGTATGTTTCCTCGTGTCCAATGGGAAGGTGCGTCTCGTTGGGAGTCTCGTTGACAAGTGCAATGAGTGCAGAGTGCAGCGCTCGCTTTTATAGTCTGCCAGGCTGGGGGAGCAAAGGAGCTTTCGCCTGGCTCTTGCTCTCTTAAATTTGGCTGAGAGAGAGAGAGAGCGCCCTTTGCATGCTGCTGCTAGCTATGCTTTAGGCTCAAGGTCAATGTCAACTGTAGCTGCATTCTTCTGCTTCTACGCTTACGTTCACGCACGCCCACACACACACAGTCAAGCATCGTCACTCATTTTGTGTTGCTCCCTATCACTGGTTCAATTTATGCTCTGTTGTCAATTTACCATGTTTGATTAGCCAATTCCGGAAATGTCCTGTGTCCGACTGTGCGTGCACGCAGTATGATTCTTGTGTCTATGGCAAACATTTTTCACTTTACCTACTGCATTCCTCTTTTTTTTTTTTTTTTGTGTGTGCTGTTCAGCAATAAATTGGCTTTAGTAAGCAGAGATTTCAACTGCTGTAGCTCATATGACAGTGTGCATGGAACTATGAGCTTATTCAGGGTTGGGTTACTTACTGAGTTACTTACTTAATGATTTGATTTACGCCTATATATGAACAGATATGTATTGACTTATACGAACTCCAACAGCTCATGCAAAATTCATTAATTAATGTAATTTCATTTGGCTTTGCATGTGTTAGACGCCTTATATAATAGTATATAATTGTATCTGGCATGCATAAGACTTGATGCAGACAGACGCATGAAGATGACAATCTCAGCTCACCTGTGGTTTCTAATCAAACTGCATGAGCCTGGCTAAGGGAGCTGCTACCTGTGCCTGCAACATTTTCAATTAGTTCACTCACTGTAAAGGGTTGAGGTTTGCGGTTTCAACTGCGATGCTGACCTATTTATGCGAAAACACTGATGGTAGTGTTTACGACACACGCTGGGCCATGGCCGTTTATCTCATAAAATGCTTAAATGAAAACCAGGTAAGGGACATTTCTTTTAGAGCAGCAGTTAAATAGCTATATTAAAATGGCACTCAAATGTAAAAAGGCTATCAACGGCATAATCCTGCTCTGTGACGGGCCACATACAAGCTGAACGCTTGCATAGGTCGCTTATTGCGGTGCTTGGTCAATAAGGTGCGTTCCAATTGGGAAGTTTGGACATTGCTGAGCGCACGCATGTCATGTCATGTCATCACAACTTGGACTGCAGTGGCCTCATATGATGCCCCAAAGTGCAACAGAGCTTTTAATAAATGCCACTGTGTCAACAGATGTCAATGTTTATCCAAATTACTTTATGTGATCGATCGAGTGAATACTTGGAACTCTTTGAGGGATACCGTTAACATGGCAAAGGATTTATTGAGTTGCAATTAAATGTGATCCGTTGCACACTCGGCTAGCTTTAGCCAGTGCAGTTCATGTGCAGTGTGAGCTGATGCCGGCCATGTGTATACGCCCAGCAACGCCCATCGATTCTTAATTGCAGCGCCCTTTATTGACCAAGCACCGCAATAAACGTTCAACATCACAGAACAGTTTGTTGTTTGTTTTTCGTTTGTTTACTTGTCTGTGTCATTTTTTATGTATTTAAAATTGTAATATAGTTATTTAATTGCAGCCCCAGGCGAAATGTCAATTAATAAATCCAAATGATTAAGAAATTATTGCTGATTATTTTACCTGGTTTTAATTAATGTATTTGGCCACGGCCCGGCGTGTGACGTAAACACTGAAGTGCAAATTGTGATAGAAAATCTCATAAATAGGCCAGCACTGCATTTGAAACCGCAAACCTCTACCCCTTCACACATTTTGAGGTGAGCTAACTAGTTGCAAGTGTTGCAAACAGATACAGGCAATTCAGGGAAGCTTGGGCATTGGTTGGCCACCACAGCGTGAGAGTTAGCTTTGCTGCTCAATGGGTCTGACCTTTAAGTGGTCACCTCGTTTACATGTGCTATATAAGGCAGTCTTTTATCAAGAGTGGCATCAAGGGGTTCGACTTCAGTGGCATTCGGAACTAGGAATCCTCATGACACATTTGGGCTATCTCCTCTTCGACTCTTTCATGATTATGCAAATCATATAGCTCGTATAATAAAGTCGCTTGATTTTCCTGATCGTTCCACTAGAGACGTGGCTAATCGTAAAATGAATTTTCAATATATCAAATGTCCTATTAGTTGAAGTGGTAGAGAGTTCGAATTTGAAGTGTATACAGTGGGCCCTCGGTTCGTTAAGCGAAAGTTTCGTTAACTGAAACCACAAAAATTTAATTAGAGTCAAAAGTACTAGAACAGGCAATGGACTGCACTATAATGTGCATCCGGGTTCTCGTTATTTATCACAGACAGAAATTTTTGCATACAATTATTGTTTTCATATTTTTTTTTGTTGGTCCTTATGCGTAACATTGTTTGTTTCCGAGGCGTTTCTTATCCGAGGGTCGATTGCATGGATAGCCCATGATTAAGTATATAGCAGATATATTTGCGGCCACTGGACGCATAGCTTCCTTCGTAGTGTAATACCCGCAACAATAGGGCGCAACACTTTTCGATTGCTCACTAAAATTTAATATATGCGTAGCTCCAAAACATTTTGTTGCATCCATAGGAAAGATTCATACAAACGCTTGAAGCGAGCCTATTGCTAAAACACAAAATGAGAATAGGGTATCAGGCAGTCGTATGCGCCCGACTTCAAAGTTCTTCTAGTGGCTATGCTTGTGCCCTATGCACCAAACTGTTGCATGCACATACACACACGAGTGTGGCTGAGTGAGACTAACTGAGTGTAAGAGAGTGCGCTCTTAATGCAGTTCGTTCCCTCTTAAACAAAAGCTTTGCTCTCGCTGCGCTTTCACACTAAGCATGTGTATTGGCTTAGCTTGTAAGCTATCGTCTAAGTTCCGTGATTGCGTTTGACCCAATGACCTTGATGTTGGCGCAACGATTTTAGTTACGTCTGGGACACACACACCGGAAGTCGGCCTGTTGCCGAGCAAAGCAAACAGGTGGAAAAAGCTGTGTACATGTCACTTCCTCTCGGGGATGTAGGTCATTGAGCCAGGCCATTAGCGCAAGAGAGGTCGTTGCATGTATCAAGTTCATATTCCCCATAAGTGGACTCAGTAAATTCAATTTCTTCATCAATTTATTCAATTTTTCTCTTGGTTTCTTACAAAAATAGTTATTGTGTGCTTTTTTGGTTTCAGGAGAAAGATCAATATGGCAACGAGGTGCAACGGCTGGCTCGTCCGCTGCCCGTGGAGTATCTGCTAGTTGATGTGCCCGCTTCGACACCGCTGCAGCCGCAATTCACATTCACCGAGTACGACAAACGCCAGCCATTCCCCATCGAGAATCGCTATATCGATGGCCATCTGCAGGACTTTAATGCGCTGAGCAACTACCTGTCCGCCTGGGGTGAAGAAGACTTTCTCGAGGCCATCTCGGACTTCCATTTGTTGGTCTACTTGTACAAAATGGACATGTTGCCATTACGCCAGCATATGGGGCCGCTGCTCGAGGCGGTGCGCTCCAAGAATCCTAACAAGGCGGCTGAATTCAAAACTGATGAAGTCTGGAAACTGCTCGAATCGCTGGTCCAGGCCAGCTCGACTGGCGGGTAAGTGCAGAGCCCATACACTTACGCTTCTTTAATCATGCTAATGTTCGTCCTCTTATGTTTGTTAATTAGTGGAACGACAAGCTATCCCAGTGGTGCAACAGCTAGCACTGGCGCCGCTGGTGCCGATGCCATGGATCTAGATGCCAACACATGGACCTGCAGCCACTGCACCTTCATCAATCGCGGCGAGTTGAACTCCTGCGAAATCTGTTCGCTGCCGAGATAAGGATTCAATCAGTTGAAAGCGTGCTCCAGCCGTCAGCTAAGCGCGACGAAAAATTCTGGTGTTAAAACGAAACTAAAGATTCAATCATACTTACTATACATATAAATAGCAGAGGGGCACTTGGATGCAGTGAAAGCCAATCGAAGGCGTGGCAACACAAACTCATCGCATGCCGTACGCGTTCTCTATAAATGTAATCTTGTATAAGCGTTTTAAAAGAAATTTAATTTATTTCTAAATAAATTTAAATTGTTGAGTATACAACAAATGTGCAGATTTCCGAGGCTAATACATATATGTATATTCCCTAGAAATTTTCTTCAAGAAAAGACGATTGATAGTAAACTGTAAATCCTTGCCAAGGTTTAAGAAACTAAACCTTCTAATCCGCCTTTATTTGTAGAGTAAATTGCATCTATATTTCGGAATAATAATAATAATCCATTTATATACATATATATGAGCACCTGGTTATATATATATATTTATCAGCAAGGGGAAAAGGAAACATATAAAGTAACCTGTGGCCGAAAGTTCCTCAAAATGAGCTTCAGGAACTGTCATAAGTTTAGTTTAAATTCAGAATTCAGTTTTTTCG